GATTATTAAAGATATTTTTACACACGGCAAGATCATTCATTTGAAACAGTTGGGTCTGCTTCTCAATTAAAATGGGGGTACCAAATCATTGAACTGGTAGAACTTTTGTCCTGAATGAAGTAATTACCGCTTGCTTACTTTTACCAATGAGCTAGCCACCTGTGCAGCTTCCAGTGTTGACGATTTATGGTTATCTTTTGAGAATCACAAACATTAATAGACGATATTTTGTCTAATGCAGATGAGTTAATGCGAATTATTTATTATTTAGGTGGATTCTACAATCTAAGCCGTACATCTTCTCTACAATTTCTCGCCATTTACTAGATACCGTGCTCGGCAGCATTAAAAAGCTAGCCAGCCACGGATCTGATCGGTACGGAAGTATTGCTAGAATTTTAGAAATAATCGGTACTCGTATTATTCTAAATGACGTTGTCGAAAATTCGCCGTTTTTGGAGCCACATGGAGTTCGCGCCCTGTGAAATCCGTCACTTCGTGAAGTTTTGGCGCGGCGTAACGAAACGATATACCGCGTCTTTCACACGAATTTTCTCTTGAATCAGACCCAGTAACGTATCACAAACAATTATTCGTCTTCGACCCTAACCCAGCTGAATAATTGTCTTTTTATCTTCCTACATATAAATTCTTTAAGCTCTCATCAAATTCCTTCATTTAATTCGCATCTCTCGGCCAGTCGTGTTACAAAGCGCTGCTTTTTTTATTATGAGGTTTCCCTTGACAGGGGAAGCCTGTTTAGTCTTGGCATCGCGTTCCTTCCGAAGCTTATTTCTGACCATTGTTTCATACACGCGCGTTCCGACGAAGGAGCCAAATGCATAATTCTGAAGCAGACGTACATCAGAAAGGCTTCCTTCTACAGCGGTCGATTTAAACAGGACGTACGACTTTAGCTTTGCCACTGCGAATAACTTTTACTTGAAGTCGCTTTTTGAAATGAATCTGCGGTTATCTGGCCGCTGTTCACGAGGATCCGTTTCTGCTTGTCCTCCGTTGTCATCGCCGTTACCTTCATCACGTGGTTCGCCTGTATTCGAGGAATGATCACGTCTGACGGTCGGTTCGGAGATAGCTGTGCCTCTTTAAGACGGCGCTAGGGCTGCGAGCAAGCAGTTTAACCAGGTTAATTACGCCGTCGAAGTAACTGGCCACTGGATATTCGGAATAGGTGATCATAAAGAGGCTACCATGATAGAGGGGGACTCTAAGAGTTGGAGACAGTCGGGAAAATGACCCATTCTTGGGGAAAAGCGACAGCTTGTGTTGATTTGGCCCGGTTGCAGATAATGGGTCTCTGTTACAGGGTCGATTGCCTTTTGAAGCAGCTTATATAGATGCTATACAAGTTAGATGATGATGATGAGCAGTACTCCGAGTTAATAAACTTCGCAAGGTAAACTGAATAATCATTGTATCGTTGTAATTAGCCAAAGCTAGCCATGATTATGATGGCTCACGAGAACTGAATGTGCATATTTAGTTTCATCGTGTTTGTCCGACGGGCCGTACACAACTAATCGAGAGTTAGAGGGGAAAGAGTGATGGTATTACGAGGCGGCCGTGCAGCATATTCCAAGGAAATGATGTTCTTCTTGAAGATAATTAGGTCTCCTTAAGGATACTAAGTTGCACGCTGTACGACAGCATGCATCGTTGAGAATTGACGCGTCGCTTGATGCAATGCATATATCATTGATACGTCCCTGCGATCTAATCACTGAATTGGATCCTTAGCGATGTCTCTGGCATAAATTCACGCCGTATTGCTAGCCATTGTTTGGACACGTTTGAAGAAAAACGTGCGAGCTTCATTGGCTGACCATGTTACACTATATCAATAGGAGCGATGTGGAGCTAACGCAAACCCGATCAATCCTGAACAGTGTCACCGTGATATGCGAGAAAGGTAAACTAGGGTGCGCTAACATTATTGGGATTTTCACTAATGAATCGACATCGCATAAACAAAAGGTTGATCAATTGTCGACGATATTACATCTAAAACCTGGCTGGCCATTATAAGGTCACGCTTGAAAGATCTGAAACGTCAGGTACAAGTGAAAATTGGCAGAGATGCACACGTGACCTGTCGGCGAAAAGATGACAGATTTATCTATTTCAACAATATTTTATATTACCACTTTAGAAGTGCTCAATAGCGTAGGCGTCTTGTTGGTTATTTTGATCGTCTAGACGAACTTACATATACGCCGGTAAGCGATTGTGTTACGTAGTCAAAATAAGCATGTAGTAGCATTTAGCTAAACGTGTTAGAGTAATTGGTGTCTATTTTATAAACGAATCCTTATAGGGTCAGGATCACTGACATCAGCTACACAGAATCCGTGAAATCGTTATCATGACGATATATCTGTATGCTGATTTACAGCGGCGTTGGACGTACATCGTCCGCCAGATACTATACAACCTTTACGCAAGCATTCTTTCAGTGATGATCACGTTGGCGTTAGCGAACTAGTGCGTAGCTTAGCCAGCAGCCATTACGAACCGCCAGGTTCACCAATTACTCGGCCTAATGTAAACGCTGTTAACCGTTAACCAGCAGTTGCATATTTTACTCTACATGCGAAATCTATTTTGGTCCACGAGGGCCTCCATTGTCGATTCAATTATGAACTGCTAGCGCTGTTACAATATAACATTTAACAGACCGTTGCATTGTGCTCGCATTGGCCAGGGACTCACATAGTGACGTAGCCAATAACAACCCTTTGAGGAACCAGTGTCATAGTCGCTCCTAGCCAGTTCTTTATGAGGACTAGTTGGAGAGCCTTGAACGGCCTAACCAGTAGCGAATGGGACTGCTCGATTCGACTCGGCTTGAATTTCGGGCGGCGGCGGCGGCGGCGGCGCCGAGTGAAATAGGAAAGGAGCGGTTTATCGCGTCCAGACGGCGTTTTGCTGCTAATGGCAGCTGCTCTCGCCGATGCTGTTGCTAGGGCTGTCGCTAACGTCTAGTGTAGATGTCGCGCAGTGTTTTGAAGTACCAGTTTCTGCACACCTTGTGGTGCCAAAAGCAACTAGACGTCCAGTCACTGAGCCCGTACGCCATATGCGCGCAGACGTATCGATACACCAGGAAGCAGGGCGACACACACTTTCGCGCGTGTGTTCACGTCGAAATGAACGTGCAGTAGCCTGCGTTTGGCTGCTGAGCGATTGATTTTTGCAAAACGGAGAGCAACTGATTTCAAAGCCCTCGCTGGAGAACAGACAGACTGAATAGCTGGTGGACCGTTCGACTTGGCCCACACTAGCAGTTCTGCCTAAAATAGCAGGCCTATCGTTGCCCGGAAAGTGCAAAACTACAAAGTCACCAGCATAATGGACTTATGCTCTTGGGCAATGTTCGGCGGCTGTGGTGCCTGCCGGTGCGTTCATGCACCGATGGCTCACATTGCTAGACTTTAAGTATCTTTTTTTTTTACTACCAGATTCCTACCCGACAATCTAAACCTATACTTGATCGTCATTTCGGAATCGGAGAGCCGCGTCTATTTTGTGCACTAACTATAGGCGATATCGTTGTGCTAGTCACTTGATGTATCCAGCAATAAAGTGTGACCGGCATATGCCGCGGCGTTCTATGTTAAATGCTGACTGAGGCTGCTTGTAATGTTGGCGTGCAATGGTGTTTGAGTTACTGTGATATGGATACGTAAACTCCGTAAAAGGGGGCAATAAGAGTAATTGTACGGCGACTGTGTCGTTTATTGTGGACGGCGAATAAACGCTCATTAGTTTGTGAATCAATACAAAAGTATGGACATTCACAGTGGTGGTCTGACCCGAGTAAATGCGATAAGATGCCGTTGTTATAATGTCTACACTCCAGCAGAATATATGTGGTACGTAGGGTGATTTATAATGTTCTTGTCGGTATCGCTTTAGAACACACATGTACACATGTGTATGTTGGTGTACGCGAGCGCTATAGGTGGCACATAGAAGTGAGTTAGCACTGACGATATGGGAGTCTACCGGCTGGAGGCAAAAAACAGTGGACGCGCTTCAATAGCAAGCCTGTAATTGAGTCTAAAAGAACTTCGTAAAAAGCTAACTGCTCGAGAAGGATAGAAGGAAGCATCTAAAAATAACGTATTAAAGAATATGAAGGTTGAGCTAGCCAATATTTTTATAAAACGACTATGTATTTTTGTTATAAACGGAAGTATGGGCAATGCGCGGCTTGAACCAAATGTAAATTCTTTCAATTTCGCGCGAACCTGGACCACCCTACTCGGAGTGGAATCTGATCATCGCCACTATCGCTCTATTTCATTTACTCGCGCCTCATCTCTACGTTGCGTTGGACAGCATCCCTTGTAAGGCTTGATTCTATGGAAAACCCTATTGTTGTTCGCTCAGTGCAACTGCCGCAGTCCGGTCACTCTGTTGAAGATCATGTTATTCGGTTTACTTGCCCCCCAGTTTTCAGCTTGTAACAGCACAAAAAAAAAAACTAATACCTACACCGCGGTTATTCACATCGATAATCGTCGATCTTTTCCACAGGGCAATGCAGTAGCAACATGGATCAGGCGAAGGCTCCGCCGCCTTTGCCGGCCAAATGTTCGGCGGGGGCTGGATCTGCACCAGGACAGGCCGGACCTTCGCCGTCAGCAGCTCCGTCAGCTGGGCATCACCTGCACGCCATTTCGGTAGCGACTGTTAACAGCACACAGTCCGCAGTAACAACAGCGTCAGTTACAGGCGCAACGCAACCCCTAATGCAGTCCTGTCCGATTCCAACGGGACCACTAGCGACTGCGCAGTCTGGCGGAGGACAGCAGATGAACGACCGCAACAACAGCATTAATAGAGAGCACAACAATAACGGCGTCGGCGTGCCGACCACAAACTCTACCGCTCGCCAGTACCATCTTGCGTCAGCTGGTCATCAAAAAAGCCCAGCCTTTATGAATAGTGTTAGCAGCAGCAGCAGCAGCAGCAGCAGTAGCAGCAGCAGCAGTAGCAGTAGCAGCAGTAGCGATAATAGCGGCATCGCAAGCTCGGTCGGCAGCGCAGCCTACTTCAGTGAGTAACTGTAGTGGATTTTGCACCTGAAAGGTTACCTAGATAAAGATTTTGTCATCAAATAGTTGGTCGCTGACTAATTATGAATAGCTAACGTGTATAGGGTATGCGTGTTGGAAACTCGTTGCGTACCTTTATTAGATCAACATAGGTATGCTAGTACACAGAAGACAGTGTTGCCTTGTGCTAAATAGAACACGACAAACGCTTTCAAATCGAAGATATGTAGCTGTTTCTATATGGCGAACTTTTAGCCTACCAAACTATTCTTGTGCTGGTAAAGTGAGTATCTTTTTAACAGTCTTAGTAACGCGTTTCTAAGCTTGATCAGACCTAACTCACATCTTATATTGCTAAGGTTAATTCGTCATTTTTTTCAATTAGGAGGTCCAGCAAATTTAACGGCTGCAGCGATGTCACAATTGAGTGCCACCTTCTTTGGAAAGGCAACCGCTGTACGTGGGTACTTGTGTGATGACAGTGTGCGTCTGCCTGACTAAAAAGCGATTTTTTCCCCACTTACTGATTTTCCTTTCGTCCGCATGTTAAATCGTCTTATTCCGAGTAACCGACATTTCACCTTACAGCCGTATGGTGGTTGTTCTCGTCACTTTGAACATTAGTACCAGGCTTCCCTTACGTTGATAATGGCTAAGGTTTGGCTAAGTGAAGCTTTACTGCGGCTCGTTCAGGCCGATTGAGTACCCGAGCCCTCGGCACCTTCGCTGCGATTCGCTATGTAGGCCATAACGATCGATAGGGTGCGGAACCTTCCCGTCATTCCAACGCCTTTGGAAGTTTTTCTGTTGCACGCCCACATTGATCGTTCGTTGACCCGGTTCTTTGGTCACTAGCCATGCAAATCTTGCGTTTCTGTCGGTCGTTTATTACTCGTTTTCCCGTTGGACGTTCCCGCGCCGTTGATAGCGCTACCCAATTTCTGATAGTTTTCTTCTGTTCTGCCTGCCGCCGCCTTTGGCTGCGGCTGGCAGTCTATATCGGGGTTTACAGAAGTCAATACTTGCAGATATAGCGTGTGTATGGACCGATTAAGAATTGACTTTTACGACTTGATTAAGCTTCATGTTCTACGAATGTTTTTCACTTGTTTGTTTTTTATTCCGTCACGTTTATATACACATGATAGCAGACGTTACCTTCAAAAATTGTGCTAGACGTATATCGAGCGATGCATCTAAAGCACCTGTTTTCAGCACTGAAAAAGAAGGAAATCCCTTCTGGCTATCTGTCGCTGTCGTTGACATCACCACAAATTACAACGCATCTTTTATCACGGTGTTATTTTACTAGAAGCGTAATTTTTATTCTGCTTCATCCTTGTACTTGTAAGCTTGACATACCTTTAGTACCTAGTTGGTCCCTTTAAGAGCGCTCGAAGCCATTGCTGCCTTATTTGCATTGTTTTTCTTTCTTGCGATATAATAAGTAGAGGTTTACTAATAACTAAGTATGAGTACGCAAAGGAGTTAGATAATCAAGACGACCTACGCAAAGGTTACAATGATGGCATAATTATTAGCATCGTCATTGTTGTTAGCGTAGACGTTGTCCCGTTTAGCTGTCCATGATCCTCGACTCTTCGCGACTTCTAGCGAGTCCTGGCCTTCTCGAAGCGCAACGAGCTATCTCCTGGTAGATCCCTTAGTTTCAACACCGTTCCCTTGACTATAACAGAACATACATGGACCGTTCGTGTGCCAGCGGATCGAGACCATTTACTTTGCAGTTTGGTAATTTCATATAACGGTGTCTCTCTAACCCCAGAAGTCGTGACACGCCGAAAGGCAGATAGTTATGTGGACGAACTAAATGTGATAACAGTGGTATAGCATAAGGGCGGGGAACGAAGTAGTTACTGCTAGTAGGGATGCTGGCCCTCGAACAACTCCGACTACACACAGCCGTGACCTAATAGCCGCATTGATGCCGATGATTAGCCCCTCCATCGTGTAATAGCTCTTTCGCTCGCCAGCGCATTAAACGCAGCCTGGCCAGTAACCAGCTCTCAGTTACTACACTACTAGTGCGACCGTAACCCATGCGCTATAGCTCCAGTATAATGGCACTGCGTTGTCACCATGACCTTTCTTGTCCTACTTCTACTTGTCTATCGTAGCCGGACTTACTAAAAGGGCCGACTGTTCGCGGCCAGTTTTAGTGGACATGTTTCTCTTTTTGTAACTATTTCCTAGTGTATATAGAAGGTGATTACGATGACAGCTGTTTTTCCTTCGGCTTTCTTGCATAAACGTACTTACGACGTCCACTTTCGATTTCGCGCAGGCGCTGATGAGGCACACTTTGCACCAACCGCAATGATGCACCTCAGTGTAATACGCGTATACAAGTCGACATGGAGAGCGAAGAGAGGGAAAGGATAGAAAAGGCATACTGTATGTGTAGTGCTGGCTCCGAGAATAGACGGGAGAACGAGAAACTTATTTAGACGCCTCTACCGCCGGTGCTGATGTGGTGGACGGCACGTAGCCATTACGTAACCGCGGCCATCGGTTATTTTTAAGGCACAGTAAGAGGGAATGAGTCAGTGGCCCAGACTTAAAGCCGGTGCTACGGCGCTTCTTGTCACCTGCGTTACTTATGCTCGTTTATCCAGTGAAGTCTAAACAGGAAAAGCACGCTTTTTGGTGTGAGTCATGTAGGAAGGGCGCCATTGATGATGGTAAAACGGGGTTTGGCGTAGCAGCTTGCGTCGGACACAAATGTTGCGTATTGCGATCATGTGTCGGCTGGATCTCTGAGTGCCATACAATGAATGGAATCACAATGGACGGTGTAAGCAAAAAAGTGTTGAAAATTTGGTTAAAATAGAAAAATCGAATTCTCGATGAAATTATGCATTATTTATTAAACAGTGAAACCATACCCCCAACAGAGTGAAACATGCTGTAATGTAAAATTTGGCTAAGAGAGAGAGAGAGAGAGAGGCGTGATTCAGGTAGTCACCGCCTTGGTTACAACATGTAGCAATATCAGTTCTGTCTATAGAGGCTAACACTATATATCCCAAGCAAGCGTTTCTTTGTCACATCGATTTCGAGACACGGTATAGACGTACTTCGAAGACTATGTACTTATTTTGTTTTTGTTTGTCCTCGGCAGATATTCATTTTTTAGGCACGATTCGCATTTAGTTATTGGCTCGTTGGGTGCGTATGAGTAGGTCAGTTTTGGTAAAACCACTATCGGGACAAAGACTAGATAGCATGCATTGCTGTTGCTCACAAAGTTATAAATATGGTGTATATTTTTGCTAATTTACATCTCAGCGTTAGTAGATGACGTGGAAAATTTAAAAAAATTTAAAACATAGAGGTTATAGAGATAAAAAAGGAGAAATTTTGAAAAACAAAAAAGAGGTGATGAAGGTAGTAGCGGCAGAACCTGCTGATGTGATTCCTTCTCAAAACTAGGCTTATTGGAGGAACCTCTGATGAGTTCATTATGACCTCTCCGGACATCTTATAAACTAATACCAAAAATTGATTCCCAAAACTTGTGTATACAGCTCACGGATAACTCAAGATTAGTACAGGCCACCGAACTTCGTAATTGATTTTGGACAACACAAAATGACCGCCTTGCTTATCAAATAAAATATCAGCACCGTGCTTTTAATCGTTTTGTTGCGTCCTACTCTGTCCTGACTTTCCATTGCCTTACTTCGAAAAAAGTGTACGACAAATTAAAAAGTTCCATTAATTCTTATTATTCAGTCAGAACAGAAGACGTAAGTAGGTTCATTATTAACAGAGGCCGTGTTGCCAGGCGGACTATATTTATTATTAACTATGTATTACTAGTACCAGCAAAGAAAGATAGAAAAAATTAAATTAAAAAAAAAAAAAGACCAAATTGTGTTTTGGAGAGGATGATTCAGCTTTATAGGGATTATTCATAAAGTGAGGTCTAGTTCCAGAAAGACGTAGTTCGAATTGAACAGGCAGACCTGTTAGTGTTGTTGACGTTCTGGCGATATATTTATTAATTAACCCGTGTTCGTGTTTAGTCAAGAATCAATAAATAGAAGCGTTCGATTTTATTAGCTGCCCAGATGTGTGCCGCATATTCGAAGATGTCATCGGTGAGGCTATGGAAGTAAGGCGCGTTACGTAATTTGCAATACAACGGACTCAATGATAATCTTATACTTAGTTAGAATCCTTAGAAGGAAATTTGTGAGAAGCTACGTCGTGCTAATCATATATGGGTTATCATACATATCACCTCTGCGAATTGGTTCCCAGTGTTTTCGAGCGTACTGTGTTTATTCTGATCGACTTCTTTGGATACCGGTAGGTTTAACAATGCGGAATATCTGTGTTGCGCACGTACATATTCTCCATCACTGGTTAAAATGTGGATCCTACAACAACTATTCCGTAAAATATAAACCCATATATATTGGCTTAGCTTAACAGTGTCTATGCATCATGTTGTGAATGAACATCCTTGTTAAGCCCGTGACACGATGTATGAAAATATGATGGCACGAAAATATCACCGACATCGTCACGGTGTTGTTGCTTATATCGAGATCAAAGACTTTTCTGATCTAATTGTAATTTAGGTATGTACCTACCTGAAGCCTAAATAAATGCTTGGCTTTACGCATTGCTTCAGTCGGGCGGAAAAACCTACTCGCGATGTTTTTTCGCCTACTAAAGACACATCTCGACGCTCGTTTGTTTTTTTGTCTTTTTTTCTTTTTGCTATTCTACAAAGATCTGCCATTATCATTGCGAGACCTGTTTGCGACGGTCTTCATTTCTATATGTTGACTTTTCAAGAGAGTGTAAGTAGGAGGATAGGTATCAAGGTCCTGTGATCTCACAATGTCTCGTAGTGTTCACGTTTGGGTCCATATTCGCATTGAAGTGTCATCTCATAACATAAGCTTTTTTAGGCCTACAGGTGTTTCGTATTGAACGAATGTCATCATTACTCCTATAAGAGTCTAAAAATTTTCAAACAGACCGAAAATAGGACTTTTTAGTGCGTGTCTTAGTACCTAGCATGAACGTTACTAAATCACAAATTTCTAATTTTGTCTCTTTGGAGTACTTTTTTGCGCAAACCCTAATATAGCCACGGATCTCAACAGCAGTTATCGACTTACATTTCTCCTACATGTAAGTTAGTCCCTGTAACATGCATTTCCTTTAGCAAAGTAAACTTTGTTTTCGACAAATGACACTAACGAAGGTCAGAAGCCTCGCATCTTAAAAAATAAATACGGTTAAGGTAAATCAACAATTTTTTTCTTGTCATTGTTTCTGTTAACGCCAACAACATAAACAATAAAAAAGAATAATATGCATTACATTGTAGTCGTCACTCAATCTATCTGTACCTTTTCGTCCTATTTTTTGAGCGTGTCACACTTTCATCGAGGATGATAATGCGAAAACAAATGGATGTAGCTACCGCGGTTGATGAGGCATTTGCAGACTGCACGTTGTCAGTACGGTTTATCCAGCTACCTTATCACGTCTGAGTTTTATGGGAGAAAGTGACAAAGTGGAAGTACAAGCTTCAGAGGCTCTATGGGAGCCGTCCAACTACCAAATAAGTCGACTGTCCACAGCTGCTTTTGGATCCTTGTTCGTCTCAGTGGTTTACCTTCCATCTTGTTACAAAAGCCCAACCGTTTTGGCCTTTTTCGGGTTAGCGCTTGCGACCGCTGTTGTAAATCATCCCTTTTTAGACCTTCCCGTCAAACCCTGTAGCTGCCTCCACGTTCTAGCTTCAGTCACATAAACCCCCCAAAAAGATCTTGTGCACATTCCGTTTTCCCATCTTCTACTTTCTCTTTTTCTTCTGTACAAGAACGTAAACTTAACGTCATGGACACCTCATTATTTTATTACATATCTCCAGTCCACTTTGCTTTTCTTATATTAACGCTTAATTCGATCTAGTGTCTCTATAACGTGACTTCGAAGTATTTCAAAACGCAATTAACTGTGCATTTTGCTGTGCTGCTATATACTTACAGATGGCTGCCCAAGTGGTGTCGTAGGCCTGCCGCTGCGCGGAAGAGGCAACCTGAACTCGGTAGCTCCTCCGCTGCCTCCAAAAATGAATAGTGGAACGGTTTCGGTTATGGCGATGGCGAATCAGGTCACCGGAGCCAGTACCTCTTGCGGTTTATCAGGAACCACGGCTAATCCGTCTAGTAAAGGGACAGGACTTTCTGGAGGTGGCGGAGGCGGGAATGTTATGGCTGCCTCATTGTTAGGAGCGGTCCCTCCTGCGCCGCTCGACCCGTTTCTACCGGTTGCTCTTAGTGCGGCCGGTACTCCATTGTCGACGCAGTTAAACGCTACACTTCCGACGTTGACGGCGTACGGCCAAGCATGGAACTGCAACACAGGTGAACTTATATGAGATCCTTTCGACAGAACTATACAATGGCATGGTCACCATATGCCATGGCAGTCATTCGCCCACTTGAACCGGAGATAGTAACATGTTCATGGGCACCCCCATTAATAAGGATATTAGGTACAGTAACGTTAGCAGTAGGTAAACGTTAGATGATTGGATAAGCTAGTCGGTTGCCTAATCGAAACATGCTGTTAGGTCCTCTGTTTTAGATATGAGTGTAACTAGGGGCAGTCGCTTGAGAACACTTAATAACGGATTTATTTGTGCAAAGACTTTGAAAACATAGCTTGTTTTAAAATTTCGAAAGTGGTTTAGTCACGCACGAGATATACTGTATGCGAACTTCATCTAGTTGCTAAAAAAATTGCTAAATCATCAAACGTTTTAGACGGTTTAGATAAACGCCTTGTTCTCTATGTGGACAAGGTAGCATATACTATGTTAGACAATGATAGAAATATCTTTTTTGTCAAGTGAGTACAAAATTTCACAGGAGAATTGACATGATTTATGAATGATTGGAGAATCCTTAACGAATTGGATTAACTTCAATACATAGCCCAAACACATTCATGTCCCAATTTGTCTCCTCGACCAGCTAGTGCGCCCCTATGTGTTCAAGAAGGATACGTATTTAGAAACGGTGCTTTGAGGAAGTTTAAGTGCTTCTTCGGATCTATCTTATACATTTTAATAACTGTAACTCGGTAACTTTTTCCCCTACACAAAATTGATTTTTCTGCCAAGCAGAAAGGCCAACACTATAATACTTTTGACTCTCTTCAACATTGTAATGTAGTAACTGCTTTGAAAAGTGTTTTTTCAAATTGGAGATCTTTGCAATAGAGTACTGCCGTCGTCATCTTCGACGTCAGTCGAAAACGTTTTTTCTCTTCGTCAGAACCTGGAGCAACGATCGATTTTATTGCTGCACTTTCAGTACTCCAGTAGTGAACGAACCGCTGGCGTATTGATAGTCTATGCTCCAATGCTCGAATAGTCCGGCTCACTGGGTAGTAGGAACTCCCAACTTTCATCGACTGTTGGGATGGGATCACCTGCTATGGTCGTTCATTTTTCGCTCGCCATAGAGAAAGCGAACCGCTCCTCCTAGCGATACTTGGGTGGAGCTTGATCCGGCAAGACCTCGAACACAATCAACCAATATAGGCTCGTGCCTCTATAACAACAGCCGTTGCCACAATAGCAACAAAACCGATATAAGTGCGTCTGGCGACGAACGTCGTCCTCACTGTCCTTGGAAGCTAAAATGAAGCCCTGCTGTGTGTGGACCTGCGATTTGCGTAGCATTTGACGAAGCAGCCAAACCACTCGACTTGTAAAAGCCACCAAAGACAGAATATGGTAGAAGCAGTTTCTCTGCCGTTACTCCGTCAATGTCAACTATGGGAGGTTGGACAGGATCAGTGGTACCTTGCGAGATGCCTCATTTCGTGGCAGCTTGCCGAGGATCAATGGCAACGGCCTGAGAAAGAGGTTTATAGGGGGCATAGCTTAGCAAAGGCATTGCATTATGTTGGCGTCGGTGTCGGTAATCCAAGCATAAGTGGATGAAAGCAACGTTAGTCACAGGATAGACGTTGACAAAGCGTTGGCCATCGTATAGGCTTATGACTCATCAAGGTTGTCCCCTTTATTTCTTTTCTCATTCTACCACTGTGTGACGGTGTCGGCGCATCTTCTTATACGACATCTTGGCTTCGGTAATCGGGTAGTTGCCTGAAAAGGAATTTTCATTTAGTGGACAACAAGATTGCTAGTAAGTTAGATGCAGTCGAATAACACAAATGGAGCTGCCTCAAGCTCTTCGCTGTTTTCTAGCAGTATTCATTTGAGCTTCATATGGGCTTGAAATGACTGCAGTCTGAATAAGTTCCATATGCTTTCCTTTTAATCTTGTATAGCTTATCTATAAGACTATAGCAGCTTCTTAAACAGTTGTTGAAACTGTTTCGCGCCTATTTTGTACCTTCTCTATTTTCCTCCATCTGACAAAGGGTATTATATACAATGAATGTGCTTTTGTTCTAAGCAAAAGCTTGTACATATTAGTTACAAGTTGTAGCGGTGTCTAGGATGTAGTAGACCCCGCTTGGTAGATTCTTCCCATTGAGTACCCGTCAGTAGTTTTGTACTTCTAGCTTTATCTTTGTTGGACCAATATCCAACTGGTAATTAAATAGATTTGTAGATAAATTGTTTTTGCTTGGACGAAACCATGAAAGGTAACGTTGGACATCAGCGTGGTGTGGGCAATAATTAGAAGTTACACAACGTTTCGAATACAGAATTAACAGCCACGATTGTTCAACTACTTAACGACATGTCAACCAAATAATTCAGCAGTTGATTGCTTTCAATTGAATTGAAAAACTAATCATTAGGGTTAAGTTGGCAACATTTTGGTCTGCTCCGACCCACAGATTTTTATGCTACCTTATGTGCAACTGGTTTAATTAGCAAGCGTAAAATGGGCTTTGCCTTCAACTTTTTTAAAAAGTTGAAGGTCCAATGCAGTCGGCTGATTAGTTTTCATGAAATGATTATCCACCATATGGTTCCTTCTTTTATTTCCGAAGACAAGATTATTCATAGAAGGAGAAAATAATCGGGTGAATCGTTTTCCCGCATATCGTCTATTGCCCATCCTGTTCCCGCCGTTGGCTTTGGATAAAATTGCCGCTTGTCTCAACCCTAGACGTCGAGACAAGCGCTAGGATGCGCACGATAGAGGTACATTCAGCTTGAATGAATGCTGCAAAACACCACATCACCATGCTATAGAATAATTGCAAATGAGTTTTTTCTGTCGAACTCTATGTCCCGATCATCCTGCGTCCCTGGACCCCTCGACTCCTCCCATCCAATTCCTCCCGCGCGTCCTTTTACCGAATAGAATTAACGAATTCTGCGGGCTTGCTAACAGACAATACAACTTCTGGGACAAGCGGGACTTGTTCAAACAAAGTCTAAAGAGGCATAGTGTATCGGCAACCGCTTGTCGTATTCCGCCCTTATAAATTTGATCTTGTCGAAACAGGAAATAGTTGACTCTAGTGGCAAGACATCATGAATGACTGCTGGAACTCTTGAAGACGGAGAGGACTGAAAATGAAAGAGATAGCTGGCGGTTTGTCTTTTCCCTCCTCCATCATCCTGGTCTTCATCCCTTCTCCTAAATGCGACAAAAAGGTTGAGAATCAATATAAGTCAGATTCGGCGGAATTCCAACAGGACTACAAAATCCAGCCGAAAGCGAAGACTCAGTCGAATTAAACTCCTAAATTCGGTGGCGGGAGACAAACCTATTCTGCTCTGTCTATTGGCCTTCGTTTGGCCTAGCGGTCATGGTGGCTGGCAAAGGATATTGTTAGATAACCGATAAAATAGATTTGCGCAAAACGAGCCACAGCGGTAGAACATTGTCTGATGCTTCTAGGTTTAGCGTTTATGGATGTGGATGGTAAATGTTGAGAAAAGGGGTACGATATTTAGAATCAATTTAGCATCGCTGCCGTTGCACGAAAACCTACCGAGCTGAATGTGGAGCACTAACATAGAAAGATCCGCGGATAACTACGAAATGGGGACGGACTGGTCAGGTAAAAGTGCGCAGATAGAAGCACACGACAAATGAAAGTTTGGATCCGGTGATCTCGAAATTCAGCGTGGCAAACACTCTCTCTTGCCTATTTGTCTGCGTACTGCTGCCATCGGCCAACAGCCTTGGTGCAACGCTCTAGGGGTGAAGCCACGAAGAGGTTGATGAGCTGGGGTCAAATTCAGAGGCAAAGAGAAGAAAAAAAGATGACAATCAGTTGAAGCTTATTGAATATCCTTAGAAGGTAGGGTAGATGAAAATAGAATAGAGCCTCACATTCTAGCGCTACAGAAGTCAAACGATGTAGAGCTTTATTGAGGAATATAATGGTGCCATCCATGTCCGTTGAACATTTACCTCACGAATGGTTTGACCAAAGCACGTATTTAAATGCATGTAAGAACTGAAGGTCACGATAGTTAGGTAGGTAAAAATTCAGGCTGCCCAAACTAAACTTTTCCGTAACTCCAAATTTTGTCACAAAATTGTAACAAAATAAAGTGGACTATTTGACGAAAACGATCCTATTTACAAACCTATTTCCTCGAGAAAATACTAACATTTATTTGCAAAAACCATAATTGCTCACCCATAGCATGTGCATTGCGCAGCGGCCTTTTCCCGAATCTACGAATCCCGAATACAGGCGTTCATTTATCGACCGCTGACTCCCGCCTGCGATAAATTGAATGTCCGATCGTTGCGAATGATCCTTTTGGTAAGAATAGACGACAGGCGCGAATTTACTAGCATCAATATAGTAGTGCATATTGGACAATCTAAAGCACTCGGGTTATGTGGGACACACTAGTATTGTATGATAAACGTTTAATGTAGCTCAGCTGTACGAATTTTACGTCATTTTATTTTAATCGTTTGGTATCAGATCTTCTTGCGAGGCTTGAACTGGCCCCTGATGCAGTAACGCTCGTCAGAGTAAATCATAAACAAAAATCGTCAACGCGAAAGTAAATCAGTCTATTATTAGATTCCCATCCCAATTGCTGAATGCCCATTTTCAGATGTGCTGGTGCCTATCATTCAGCAGTGAGGTGCCTTATAGATTGGACTCGATTGACTAATAAATATCAAGTGGTGAAATTTTTTATAATGAATATTACAAATCACGGCTAGCTTGCACGCGATTACCCTCTGTCATTTAGACATTTCAACCCAACTATGGAACTAAGCTTCGACAGCAGCGTTCGACATTCGGAAGTCGTGTGCTTCCCTAATGATTGACAGGTCAAGATAATTTTACGATATCGAGGCCTGACGTTTTATGTCGTACTGGCTAAGCCAGACTCCCGTAGAAATAAACGTGGGCTTGGCGAATCAGCGAGTTCTGTGTCCCGTCGGTAGCT